CAGTGGGATCTGTAACCATTTGAAGCCCATGCCGCCCAGGCCACGGGCACTTGAAGACGGCAAAAAAACTAGCAGAAATGCAAGCACAAGGATGAACCAAGCTTGCGGAAGGACCCTGAAATGGACAATCGCCACACAGTTTTCTCCATCACTAGGGCATTGCAAAGCCGCTCTGCCATCTGAAATTGTTGTAATCACGGACAGCCACCTTGTGCATAAGATCCAGCACAACGCGCAGCTGCAGAATGTCAGAAGAGCGGACAGCAGAGACATTGCCATGGCTAGTCAACCAGTTTCAAACTCGAAAGGAAAGGACCTGTTGGAAACAAGTGCGGTTCAAGTTTGGCTCTCGAACGCTGCGAAACAGCCCTGACGCAGTGGTTATCATAACGAACGTAAAAATCGCGGCAGTGAACCTGTCGTTCCTATCCGCAAACTAAGGCCAGGTGCTAGCACATGCCTCACCCTTGGACGAGACATGCTACGAAATCATGCTGGACCTTTTGGCCTCTCTGCGCTCGACCTTCGACCCAGCAGCAAACCCAAAAACCTCACCATAAACCCCAAAAGCCTAAACCTTAAACCCCTAAACCCTAGAACCCTGAAGCCCTAAGCCAAAAAACCCTGCAACGAAAAAGCCTAAAGCCCTAAACTGCACTCTAAACTCCTAAACAATTCAGTTCGAGGTCTCCTCACCCGGCTCAATACCGCTCAGTCTTCACAAGGGAATTGTGTATGTTCTGCAGTGCAGCTAAAACTTCCGTGTGTGGGGGCCATGGTTGTCCTCTGATGTTTTAAGCATCTTGTCAGGTCCTCATGGGGCTTAAAGCCCCTAGGCCCAAACACTAAACCCTAAACCCTAAACCCTTAACCCTTAACCCTAAACTCCTGAACCCTACCCCCCACGGAAAGCCCCCGAGGCCTAAGATGCAAAAAAGTCTGAAGCTTCAGACCTGAGTCCCTTGAACCCAGCAACTGGCGGAACTAGAATCACACAGGGACCCTTAGGGTTTAGGGTTTAGGGCTTAGGTTTAGGGAGGGTTTAGTGTTTAGGGTTCAGGGATGTTAAGGGTTTAGGGTTTAGGGATTTAGGGGTTTAGGGTTTAGGGGTGTTAAGCCCCCCCTACCCCCACCCCAAGGGTCCTTATGATTAGAGCTAGCTTGACACCTCTGGCCGCCGGCCTCCTCGAGACCATCCATGCGAGGTCTTTCGCTCGGTGGCCCCTGGAAGTCCTGACCCCGTCTCACGCGCGAAGATGCAGATCTCTTGTTCAAAACCTAGCCTTAAACCCTTAAACCTTTGAACCCTTCAACCCTAAACCCTAAACCCTTAAACCCTTAAACCCTTAAACCCTTAAGCCTTAAACCCCTAAGCCCATAAACCCTTGAACCCGAAACCCTAAAGCTTAGTGTGTGTTTGGGGCTTTGGGGCCGAGGCACCATGAAGACCACTCATACACTTCCTTACAAGAAGTTCCGAACTGGACGGCTGTCGTTGGGGGCAGGTATCTTCAACAAGCACCACAGGACGTCGATACCTGTACGTAGAATCTTATGTCGACAACCTCTCATGCATTCATGAGACCCCACAAAGCCTTACAAGGATCTACAAGCCTTCTGCCCTCATCTGATAAACCCCGCTGAAGTCCATCATGTGCAGGTAGAGGTAGACGGGGTCGTGCTTCTTGCGCTCGAAAGGAGAGCTTACGACCAGGCTCCTGCCGGTGGGGCAAGAGGCCGCAAACAAACTTCGGCAACCACTGGAGGAAACGTTGGCATTTCCGTTCAGATTAACCAGAACACTTGCACCAAACTGTTTGGGATATGAACAAGAACTTCTCGCTCTACAGATTCTCCTCTCTGTCATGTTGCTGCACGTTTGCTCCTGTTTCTTAAATTTTCTAGTCCCTTTCGACTGGTTTGCTACTCTTTCTCAAATTCTCCGCGTTTTGTCAAATCCCCTCGTCTCTTTCGAGCGGTTTGCTCTTGATTCTCAAAGTCCTTGTCAAATTGCCAAGCCTCCTTCCACCGGCGATTCGTGTTCCCACATTGTCGAATCTCTTTCGACTAGTTTGCTCCTTGTCCTCAAAATTTCCGTTTTTGTCATCAAAGTCTCTCCTTGTTCTAAATATCTCCTCTTGGTCGAATTTTCGAGATTCCCTTCGAAGGGGCCTGCTCCTCTGCACCTCAAGTTCCTGGACTACCTCGACCGCTGCCTCCTCTCAGAACTGCAAAGATTCTGTCGAACCGTGTTGCCCTTAGTATAGTATAGTATAGTATAGTATAGTATAGTATAGTATAGTATTTGTGTCTTAGAGCTCCAGTTCCTTTTGGATGGTTTTTGAAGGTTTCCTCTTCTTTCACGAAGTCTCTAGTCTGTTTCGGGCGGCTTGCACCCCCGCTGTCAAGCGATCATATTCTTGTTCTCGCAGTTTGGTCCTGTTTCTCCCCAGTCTCTTTCGACGGGTTGCCTCTTCAACCTCATACGCCCCGCTTTGTCAGAAATGGTCTCCTGTTTGTCACAGTCTTTAGCCTGCTTTGGTTAGCTAGCTCCTTTTTTCACATCTTCCTCAAACCGTCTAGCTCCCTTCGACTGGTTTGTTGCTCACTCTCACATTGTTCTTTTGGTCACCTCGTTTCGACTGGTGCTGTCCTCGTTCTCAGACTTTCCTCGCTGTCAAACTTTCCAATCTCTCTCGAAGGGTTTGCCCCTCTTTGCTTTGCCAAGTCCTCTAATCCTGTTCGAGCGTCTTGCTCCCCAGTTCACAAACCTAAGCCCTAAACCCTAAACCCCTAAACCCCAAACCCGAAACCCCAGCGTCGAGCTGCCTGAGTCGGGTTCTCCAGTGTTTGTTGTCCCGTTCGCAGTTTTAGACAGAGAAGGAAACCCTCGAAAGAGACAGGAGAGCTTGAGAAAGAGCAGCAAACCGCTTGGGAGAGACTAGAAAAGCTCACAAAAGGAAGAAACTGATCAAACTGAGCAGGGACAAACCTTTCGAACGAGGGTTCGAGAACGGGGAAGGTGAGCAATTTGGGGACTGGAGAACCACCCTAAACCTTAAACCCTAAACCCTAAACCATAAACCGAGAACCAGGAGCAGAGGAGTGAAAAGGTACTCGAAGATGTCACAAACGGAATCTGACCGCTCGGAAGAGACTAGAGGACTTGTCTAGAGGAGTCAAAGCAGCAATAACAACAGTAACAAGAATATCAATAAAAACAATAATACTAGTAATAAGACTAATAACAATAAAAACACTAATAACAAGAATAACAACAACAGTAACAATTCCAATACAAAACGGTAATAACAAAGAACAATAACAATGATAGCTCTTATTATTGACAGTATCGTTATAAATTCTTGTTACAGTTAATTAGAGCCACCAGCCGAAAAGTCGAAAGGGGACCAGACATTTTGAGAAACAGCAGCAAACGACTCGAAACCAAAGAGATGGATGTCAAAAGCAGCTTGCGGGGTTTAGGGTATTGGGGGTTTAGGGTTTAGGGCTTAGGGTTTAGGGTTTCGGGGACAAGAGAATTTGAGAAACAGGCCGCTTGAAATGGTTTGACAACGAGGAGACATGGATAAAGAGGAGCAGAACCAGTCAGCCGGACTAGACAGCTTTCCACAGCAAAGAATTGAGAGAAAGAGGAACAGAATAGTGGAACACGATTGGAAAAGCTGCTGGATAGAGACCAGAGAATCTGACAAAGACGACAATTCCACGAGGAGCAAAACGGTTGGTATCCCTTTCGTGTGGTTTCCCACTCTCCTCGAATCTTGTCAAACTCTGCAATCTCTCTCGAGCGCTTTGATCCTGCTGCAAAACCCTAAACCCCTAAACCCTAAACCCTAAAACCCTCTTCACATACTTTCCCCATTTCGACTGATTGGCTCCTCTTCCCCAAGTCTCTTCTCTGTGGCACCGTCTCGAGTTTCTTTCGATTGCTCCTGCTTCTCAAAATCTTCTAGTCGCTTTCGACTGGCTTCTCACTCTCAGCTCTTCCTCGCTGCCAAGAAAGTATCGAGTCTCTCTTTTTTTTGCGTTGAGCCCAAACCCAGGAACAACAAAGCCTAGAAAAAAATACACCCCTATAAAAACTCAACCCCAAACTCTGACCCGAAACCCTAAGCTCCTAAGCCCCTAAGCCCTAAAGCGACGGCGGAGCCTGGAGAGGAGGTGCTTCCTCGACTCGCCCGGAAGCCGCAGCATCAAGCCCGGAAACACCTCGAAAAAAGCACAGTTTTCACAAACGCGGGGCTGGTAGGGTTGAGGCTTCGGCCCCTACAGGCAAAGGAAACGATAGGTGGGGAGTGTAGGGTATATAGGGCTTCTATAAGGCTTCTATAAGGTATATAGAGATTCAAAAAGGCTCCTATGACGGTAACTACCCACCTGAAAATGTCCTAGACTTCACAAAGGCCTACAGTTGCACATCGGCATATCTAGAAGTGCCAGCATGAACACCTATCGAGGTATGTATGTATGGATGACCTAAGTATACGTGAATAAAGATTGCTACCGATGTATACGGGTCTGTGCCCAGAACTGTACCAAGCTCTATCTCTGTCTCTCTCTCTCTCTCTCTCTCTCTCTCTCTACATATATAGATATATAAATCAAGGACGAAAAATATAATATATATATATGTGTGCACATGCAGATACAGATGGAGAGACATCTAGCTTGCTATGGATACAGGACGAGAATCAGATGTAGAAATTCGTGCGAACACAGAAAGGCTCGGCCACAAGCCCACAAGCCCTAAACCCTAAACCCTAAACCCTAAACACTAAACCCTAAACCCTAAATCCTAAACCCTAAAGCTGTTCAATTATTCTCATGCCTAGAGCCGAGCCTGAGCACACCCCCAGCAACCCGGCCCCGGCCCCCCCGCCTGCTTCTCTGCCTGAGCAGGGGACACTGACAGGCTTTTAGGAAGCCATCATATCACTAAATGCTACAAGCAACATCATTTGTAGGCAAAACAACAATCATAAGAGTAATAGTAGAAGCAATCCTGAAAATAACGCTAGTAATCGCTGTGGGCTGAGAAAGGGCCCAGCCTCTTCTCCGTGGGCTTGGGACCTCCGGACCTGTCGCGCGTAGCCACGCAGGGCCGCTTCAAGTCCGGCCCAGTCCAGCGGCCGGGCGAAGCGCTTCAGGGTGGGCATGCCCATCCGGACCTGACACAAAAAGCCGGCAAAGCCAGACTAGTATGCTATGGTACTACAGCACAAGACTCTGTGCGCCTTGGAGTCGTCGGTCCTGCGAACCTCCGTTCACGTCAAAAGCAGAGTTTGAGCCGAAGACTACCGAAAAGAAAACGAGAAGGCGAGCGACGAAGCGCAGATGGGCTTCTTCGATGTCCATGAGCTCCGTGCTGGTGTTCAGCAGAAGCGTCATCTCCGTCAGCTCCTCGTAGCATTCCACGTGGGTGTCCTCGGCGCGTCTGCCGCTATGCAATCCAGTGTATCAGACAGATATCGATACAAGCTCCTCCATGGACCTATCAGATACTATGCATACTATATCACACGAAACATATTCTTCATCATGTATATATATATATAGATAGATAGATAGATAGATAGATAGATAACTATTTATGTATATTTATATTTATGTATTTATTATTTGTTTACCTATTTATCTGTTTACTCTATATCTATATATATATATACATATGTATATATATATATTTATATTTATATTTATACTTATATTTATATTTATACTTACACTTATCCAGTGATTTATGGGTATGTATATAGATATAGATATAGGTATGTATATATATATATATATTACAGCCTGGCCGCTGTACTTGCTGCAGATGCTGGCGCGCCGGCAACCGGACGTCTGCTTTCCCAAACCTTACTGATGCACTCTTGGACACAACTTGGTTCCTGAGTAATTAGCCCCCTTTATAGTAAGGGTACCCTTTTTCCTATTATTCGGTTTTGGTAAGGGGGCCCTAAAATAGAAAAGGGCAAAAGGGTACTACTCAGGGACCTAGACAAAAAGGATGTAAAGCCCCTGAGCTGTTGATGGCCGCTCTCCAAAAACAAAAACGGGGGAACTGATCGATTCAAGCCCTAAGCCCTAAATAAACCCTAAACCCTAGAAGGGTACTCGTGTCCCTGAACTCCAGACTTCCAAGGGGACCTAAAAAACCCCAAGAGCGAGAGCAAAAACGCTCAAACTCTACTGAGTCCTCTCTAACAGCCCAAGGCTCGTTCTGGGTCGCCGGGTCGGCCTTCCGTTCTGGAAGCTTTTTGTTTTCAGCCTCCTACCGCTTAGGGTTTTAGGGTTTGGGTTTAGGGTTGGAGTGGGCTCCTTTAAGGCTTTCGCTGTTGAGGATCGGATCCAAGGGCTTCCTGAAAGGATTCGGGCGAGAAAAGTATGGCTGCAAGTAGTTAGAGCCTCTCCTTCCCGCCGACCCCTCATCCGTTCAGCGCTGGGGATTCAGAGCATCGACGGTTTAGGGTTTAGGGTTTAGGGTTTAGGGTTTATTGGCGGCATCGGCATGTTGGGGTTAGCTGCCAAGCGCTGAAACATGATCCCAAAAAGGATGCTTGGCATCTGGCGGGCATTGGCAAGTTGGAGAAAGGAACTTGAGCAGCCGAGGCTGCTGGGTTCTAAGGTCACCAAGTGGGATCAGTTCTGTAAGGAGTCAAAAATGCTCTACACTGAGAACCTAAGCCGCTAGAACTTCAGCCCCTTCATCAGCCCCTTCACTCCGAACGTCCAAACCCCTACAAACTAAAAAAAAAACACAAACCCCAAAGCCAGAAGAAATATAAAGAATCCTGAGCACTGAAGCAGCAACATCCGATCCCATCCCAGGCGCCTCTGGCTGCACCGTTGCGTGGACATCTTCTGTAAGGGCCAGCCTGGGGTGTAGACTTCGGCTTTTAAGGCCCTAAACCCTAAACCCTAAACCCTTTGGGTTTAGGGTTCCAGAGGTTTTTTTGGCATTTGTGGGTTCGGCTTTTGACCCTAAATCCTAAACCCCAAATAACCTACCTTTTTAAGGACGTATATTGAGAGATCATAATAAGGAACCCTGAAGGTAGCTTCTTTAGGATCCAGGTAAGCCCTAAACCTTCAAACCCTAAACCCTAAACCTTAAATCCCAAGTCCCTATGCCCTAACCTTGGGGTCCAGGTAAACCTAAACCTTCAAACCCTAAACCCTAAACCCTAAACCCTAAAGAGCAAGAGCCGGAGGTCGAGGCTTGAGACGGTTCGGGGATTCGGCGCAGAAGGAGCCGGAAGCTTCCGACAGAGAAAGGCGTCTTGAAAAAAGGGGATCTTCATGGGTTTAGGGTTTAGGGTTTAGAGGTTTAGGGGTTTAGGGGTTTAGGGTTTAGGGTTTAAGGTTTAGGGGTTTAGGGTTTAGGGTTGGGGTTTAGAGGTTCAGGAGGTTTGTGGTACACTATATTGGGCTACTTGCGACGAATAATTTCATTTCGATCCCTATGAACAAACAGGCCCTTCGGTGCAGTCCGTGTACACAGTGGAAAAGAGCGCAGAGTGGCGGAAGCAGCTCTCTAGTGTAGAAGGTTGAAGAACGACCCATACTAATCCCCAAGGTTCCTCGTGTGATTAATTATAGCACAATATACCCCAAACCCCTATTCCAATTGCTGAGGCCTCCACATTAGTGCCAAGTTGCAGATGGTGGATGGTATTCAAACCGTAGAGGTTGTGCGGAAGCGGAACGTGGAACATGTCCACGGAGACGATCTGCGTTGAAGCAGTCTTCAGAGGGACACGCAGGCATCCCGGCGTGGCCTCCTTTGGCAGTGCAGCTTTGGCCAGAAAGCGATCAAATGTCTTCCTCGCTTCGTCATCGCCGATAAGCTCCCGAAAGCTGCGCCCGGCAAAGTCGTCCCTGCTTGACAGGAGCCGTTGCAGGCACGGCGCGCTGCCGCAGATCTTGAAGTCGCCGTCCAGAAGCAGCTCTCCATCACAGATCCCCTTCAGCATCTGCCGAAAGCCATCAATCAAGGAGTCCGAGTCTTGCGACTGAAAGGATGCCTCGATACATTCCCGCAGAGTCTGCTCCAGCATGAAAGGGACCATGTTGCACACCAAGACCTGCAAGGACAAGTGGGACACAAGCAACCAAAGGTCCACTGCGCTGCGGCCATGAACCTGTGCTGTGGCCCATATGTATAGGGCAGTGTGGAGCACCGAACTGGAGACGGTGGCTGCATTTGCCGAAAAAAGCATTGAATGAAGAATCTGCGACCCAATTATGAGCCCGATTTGGCCCAAGAAGGTGTCTTTGGATCCGCGGCTGATGGCGACGATTGCTGCGACGTGGACTAGTATGAGAGAGACCCGTACGGCATGCAGACGCCGAGGTGTCAAAGACAGCTGCTCGCCTACCACGGCGCTGTAGGTAACGTAGACCATCGATAAGCAGAGTAGCCAAATCCCAGAAGACACACCCGGCTCGCACATGAAGTCCACAGCAGACTTCAAGAGCAAGACCATCACGGCGTGGATGCAAGCGCAGACAAACATCAGGCACATCTTCGAGCGCACCCTGCCGAGCTCCTTCAGCAAAGCGGGCTTTCCAGGCTTCGGCTTTAGGGCTCCGGGATCCTCCCCTTCGAAAGCCCATCTGCATGTTTGGAGATGAGGGTTTGGGATGTAGGATTTAGGGCTTAGGGTAATAGGGGGTTCGAAGTTCGGATCGTGGGTTGAAGCCGATCACTGCCTGGCTTGGACACTTTAGAACACTCCCGAGCTAGTGCTTCAATGGTGAACTTAGGAGGGTCCTGTCATATTCTTCAGCAGACCACACCTCACACCTGTGAGGAGCTACCTCTTGCAAGGCTTCCTCCTGCACCTCCTCCACCCCCCGAAAGACTGCCTCTCTTTTGGCCCCACAAAGAAACCAACACCCCAAAACAGCAAACTCCCTGAACCCGAAGCCCTAAACCCTAAACCCTAAACCCTTAAACCCCTCAATGTGGCGACCTTTGAAGAAAACCAATGGTCTTTCGTAACGCTTCCGCCCTTTCGGCCTCCTATGCTGGGCTCTTCGTAAGGAGTTTAAGCTAACTTATAGTACTAACTTACCATAACGGGGGTCTATAGTAGTAATAAGTGAGATAATACGGTTTCCCTATTTTGGCGACTTGAAACAAAAACCCTTAACAAGAACCCAGTAGACTAGCGTTGATGATATAAATCCTGCATTACCTCAAGGACCCTAAACTATGGGAGTTATGGTATATTCCTTCTTATGGGTGATGCAGGACAACAGCCCTAAACCCTAAACCCTACAGTAGTAGTCTCCTCTTCGACTCTGAGCGCACCCGGGTTGGTCTCGGCTTTTCGACCGAAGCTGCAAAGCGAGAGCCAGGTCACGACTTGCTCCTGGGCTCAAGGGTTTAAGGGTGCAAGGGGTCTAGGGGTTTAGGGGGTTAGGGGTTTTTAGGGTTTGACATAATGGGCCCTGTAAGTGTATACCTGTTCTTTGAGGGTCAAAACGGAGGCTTTCAGGGTTCTACAACGGTTCAACTCATGGTTTTAAGAGGGCTTCCTAAGATTCTGTAAGGGTGAGTTCAGGGTTCAGGTGAGAGTTGTGGGCTTTCTGTAGGAAGGGATGGGTGCTATAGCAGTTCTATATAAGGGCTCGAAAAAAGTCTCTTCAAGCGTTCTATAAAGGGCTTCTGCAAAGGTTCCATAAACGTTTACAACGGTTCTAGACATTCCCAAAAGGTCTAAACGGGGCCTAGGGTTCACGGTTTGGGATCGAAACCCTAAACCCTAAAAACCTACAACCCTAAGACCCTAAACCCCAAACCGCCCTAAACCCTACACCCTAAACGGGCTTTGGGGCTCAAGGGTTTTAGGCTTCCAGCTTCGAGCTTCGGTGATTGTAAGGAAGCCAAACAGGAGTTGTTCGAGATGGGTTTAGGTTTTAGGGTTTAGGGTTCAGGGCTTAGGGGTTGGGCTTGAACCGTACGGCCTTTTGAAGTGCTTTTGGGATCTGAACGCTTTGGGCTTAGCATCTTAGCATGTATCGGTTTCGGGGCGTTAGTGGCGGTGGTGGGTTCAGAAGTGTTGGTCTTGGGGCTTAATGTTTAAGCCCGAAGAATCTGGTGGTGAAGCAAAGGTTCAGCGTTTTAGAGGTCGAGACCTGAATTCCCCCTTAGACTCTGAGCTTAGCAGTCTCTGATTGAAGGGCATTGTGCCATGCTGCACCCTAGAAGGCCCTAAACCCTCAACCCTGCACAACTGCACAGCTCAGCCGCTTTCGTGAGATGCCAGTGCCAAGCGAAGAGCGCAAGAGCAGCAGCAGAACCGAAAAAAAAACCTGGACCATCCATGGCTTCCAAGAGGCTGCAAGGTCCGCCAAAACCCGAAACCCTACACCGGCCCAAAAAAAAGCGATGCTTCTGGGTGTAAGGTTTAGGGCCCACGGGCTGAGGGAGACGCGAGCTTCAGAAATCCCTGAAGTGAGGATCCCTCATAGAAGGAGGGTCTTAGGGTTTAGGGTTTAGGGTTTAGGGCCGAACCTTCAGTAGTTAGAAAGAGTTGTTCTGTCGTAGGTTCCTGAAGCAAACTGCAGCAAGATGCTGGCACACATGTTCTGTCACCCTGCAACGGAATTGCGCAGGACACACTCACCCCTAAACCCTAAACCCCAAACCCCCAAACCCTGAACCCTCATCTTTTTTTCTTCGAAACACAACGATCTTCGGCGTTCGGGCTCTCTGATTTCAGGCAGAACACGGGGGCAAAGCTGAAAAGAGCTTAGGGTTTAGGGTGCAGGGGCTTTCTGCAACAACTCTAGGTGAATCAACACCGCATCACGATTTCGCCCCTGCGTGTTCCTTGGGTCGCACAGCTCCTGCTGAATTCGCCCAAGCGTGAGGACACCATACAACAACAGTAGAAGAGAAGCAACACGTCGGATCGCATGGTTGTAAGTACCTACTTGTGGAGTATGTTGATGTTAACCTTCCATCCAGCTGTGTCTCGATCTCTGTGCTTGCTGCAAGCTCAAGACACACTGTGGAGCCCTTTCGAGGCCATAGGCCACAGACCGCAAAGACTCACACGCTTCTAAATATCAACCGCGCTTGCAGAGCGGATGTAGGAGCATGTGCCAAACAGTCTGTGTGTCGCTCAAACAGCGCGTGCATTTGTCAAAAGTCTGTTGCAGGGACGTAGGTCAACACGGTGCCCTAAACCGTAAACCCTAAACCTAAACCCCAAACCTTCAACCCATCATGCTAGGGAAACCTAAGCTCTAACAACACTGCGGCACGGAGGCTCCTGGCAAATCTACATTGTGACTGCGTATGCCATGCTACACAAGGCCCTCATAAAACCCCATACAATCCTACCAAAATTCATTCAACTCTGAACCGTACAGGGGTATCCTTTCAAGTAACAAAGTCCTTTCAAGTAATAAAGTCAGGGCCGGCCACCCCAAGGCCCGAGTCCTTTGATTCGAACCCCTTAACAAAAGTAAATTTGATGGAACCTGACACCCTAAACCCTAAATCCTAGACCCTAAACCCTGCAGTCTTAAAGGACCCGTTATGGAGCCGTTATAAACCCTGCCGGAACTCTCAAATAGAACACTTCTGAGATCCTTGCAGACTCTGGTGGAGCCCTTATGGAACCTTCATAGAAACCCTGCCCTAAACCCTTATGGAAGCTTAAAAAGCCCTAAACCCTAAACCCCTAAACCCTAAACCCTTATGGAAGCCCCTGGTTCTCTTAACGGCACCCCTCCGGAACTTCTCTGGAACCCTAATTCCCTTATGGACCTAAAGCCATTATTGAGCCCCTCTAAACCCTAAGCCCTAAACCCTGAACCCTAAGCCCTCAACCCTAAACCCTTATGGACCTAAAGCCCTTCTTGAGCCCAGCCCTTACGGAATTGTAGAAGCCTACGTCCATCAGAAAAGTTTCAGTTCGATCGCCTTGCGTCGTCGGTTCGCGGCCTTCTTCGACGCCTCCGTGCATTTGTAGCGTAGGGTTAGGGCTTCGGGTTTGGGGCTTCTGGGGTTTAGGGTTTGGGTCAGGGCGGTTAGGGAATCTACCCTAACCCTAAATAATCCAAGCAGATCCTCACTATGATTTAAGGCATGTTCCCTAATGAAGCGTCTCAGAGTCTTCTTGCAGTCTCTGTGTCACCTTCGTGGGGCTGGGTTTTTTGGAGTTTCTTGGGGTTTGTTAGGGCTGAAGGGCTTGAGGGTTTAAGGTTTGCGGCTTTGGGGTTTCAAGGCTTTGGGGTTTAGGGCTTTAGAGTTTTTAGGTTTTCGGGTTTAGGGTTTAGGGCTCAGGGCTACAAGATGCTTCAATACCAGCAGGACCTCAAGTCTCAGGCTTGCAACGACACAAACCCCTGAAAGCGAGCGAGAGCCTGCTGGAACAGGCAGGTGCCATCTGAGAGTTTCGGAAGAGTCAGGACCCCCCAGTTCTACAGTCACAGGACTAGGACGGGGTTTAGGGCTTAGAGTTTAGGGAGTGGTACGGTGGTGTGGAGACTCGCATCAAGTCAAACACATGCCTCCAAGTCACATTTCCCGCCGTCAAAGACCCTACTAAGTTCACTAACCTTATCGTCTGAATCCCCCTGACCCCTGAACCCTCCGCCCCAACCGGGACCTTATAAAACCTTCGGAACTGACATGCCCTGAACCCTGTACCCCTAAACCCCTGAACCCCTAAACCCGAAACGAAACCCCCTAAAAACCCTAAACCCCTGACCTAAACCCCAAAACCCTATAACCCATTCCGGGGGGCTGCGTGCGAAGCTCCGGTAGCCAGTTCGAAGGCCTCCAGCGTTGGGTTCCGTGAAATTGCCTTTAAGAGTTCCAAAAAGGGGTTTGTTATAGACCTTAAACCCTATACGTGTGGCCCAAAAGACCTAGCTATCTATAGAATCCATAATCGTAGATATAGATACAGACATGGATATCAGATAACAGATACAGGCTTAGACTTAGGCTTGGATATACATAAAAATACGGATACAAATGCAGATATACTCAGATACAGGTACAAATATGGATGTAGATGTAGATACAGTTATGGATACGGATATGGATACTCATGTATAACATGTAATCTTTATTCTCAACTCAACGACGACCACAGCCAAATGCAGCTGAGGGCGTTTGGTCTTGGCTTAAAAGTGTACTCGCGTCACAGCGCTCTCTCAAAGAGAACATCCCTGAGAATCACCTGCCGGTCTC